CTGCAGCTGTTGGCCATAACCAAAAAAAACCCACTTCCGTCCGGTTAATTCCGACTCATACCATGTTGTTGTTGTTAGGTGCCATTGAGTCGGTTCCAACTCACAGCAACCCTGCGTACAACACAATGAAACATAGGCCAGTCCTGCGCCACGCTCACGATTATTGTCATGCTTGAGCCCATTGTTGCAGCCACTGTGTCAGTCCATCTCGTTGAGGGTCTTCCTCTTTCTCGCTGACCCTCCACTTTACCAAGCATGATGTCCTTCTCCAGGGACTGGTCCCTCCTGACAACATGTCCAAAGTACATGGGACAGAGTCTCACCATCCTCACTTCTAAGGAACATTCTGGTCGTACTTCTTCCAAGACAGATTTGTTCATTCTTCTGGCAGTTCATGGTATATCAATATTCTTCGCCAACACCACAATTCAAAGGCATCAATTCTTCTTCGGTCTTCCTTATTTATCGTCCAGCTTTCGCATGCATATGAGGCGACTGAAAACACCATGGCTTGGGTCAGGCGCACCTTAGTCTTCAAGGTGACATCTTTGCTTTTCAACACTTTAAAGAGGTCTTTTGCAGCAGATTTGCCCAGTGCAGTGCGTCCTTTGATTTCCTGACTGCTGCTTCCATGGGTGTTGATTGTGGATCCAAGTAAAATGAAATCCTTGACAACTTCAGTCTTCTCTCCGTTTATCGTGATGTTGCTTATTGGTCCACTTGTGAGGATCTTTGTTTCCTTTGTGTTAAGAGACCCTTGACGCGCCAGCTATCGCCTCCTCTTTCAGCTGTGTCACAGTCTCACCTTCCGGGAGCGAGTATTTCCTGGAGCCGGAGCGAATTTACTTTTACTAGTTCTCAGTGAGGAGCCCTGGTGGCGCTGTGGTTAAGTGCTCGGCTGCTAACCGAAAGGCTGGAGGTTCAAAACCCGCCACTGCACCATCAGGGCTCCATCCGTAAAGATGACAGCCCTGGAAACCCCGTGGGGCAGCTCTGCTCTGTCCTGTCGGGTCGCTACATACTGGAGTCGGCTCTATGGCAACGGGTCTGGTTTGCTTTGAGTTCTCAGTGTTGCTTGACATCGGGACAGGCAAGCATATGTTGTCCCAGATCGTGTAGCCTGGGGACAGGAAAGCAGTTTTCTCCCAGGGTTGTCTAACACAGGTAGAAAATTGTTGTTCGTTTCATATTCCACGACTGGGACCCCACGTGGAGAACAGAAGCCCATTGTCAGCTACCGACTCCCCTGTAAGATCACCAAATCACCTGTTGGTCAAGCAAAACCAAGCTGATTGCAATAAGAGACCATGGCCTTGACCGAGTCTTAGAAACTTCTGGGAGGGTGAGGTTAAGCGTGGAATGTTCATAAGTGTTTTGTTTTAGTTTGTTTTTTGAGGGCGGGGGGTGGGGGGAGAATGCAGGTTTTAATTTAAACAAATAGGGAGTTTCAGATATTGTGTCACGTCCTGGAAGCAGAAGTTTTACCCCCCGTAGTAGTTCTTAATGCTATCACGTTCCTCAGGATCTGGTTTTATCTTTTTTTTTCATAAGTTTTTAGGGTCTGATTTAAGGCAGGTCTGTTTAATGAGGGAGGCCTGTCTGGGATGGAACAAAAGGTGTTTAGGATTGGTGGATATAGCAAGGTGAGGGCTTTGAAAAGCCCAGGTGAGTAATGTATTTGTTTGGAAAGGGGCCTGTTACCCTGAAGAGGGCTAGTTAAATAACCTAATGCTTGGATAAAGGATTTTCAGGAAGTCTCTTAACTAAGTAGTAAAGTTATTTGCAACTTCCTCTTCCTAGAGCAGAATTTACTGGAATAGTAAAGTCATGTTAATACAGCAAGTCAAGCAGTAAAGATGAGTTAATGTCAAGTACAGATACTGGCTGACCTTGGGTGGTTTCAGCTCTCACCCGAGGCGCTCACAGTTTGAGGTCAAAAGCTGTGGGGCTGGGAATGAAGGGCAACAGGAGCTCTCACTCAGGGCTGATGGGAATGCAAAATGGAAGACAGTCTGGCAGTTTCTTATGAAGCTAGATATATTCTTACCATGTGACCCAGCGATAGTGCTCCTACATATCTATCCCAGTTGAAACCTTGTGTCCACACAAAAACCTGCACATGAATGTTCTAGCAGCAACCAAGATGTCCCTCAATAGGCGAATGTATAAACAAACCGTGGTCCATCCATACAATGGAGTATTAACCAGCAATAAAAAGAAATGAGCCATCAAGCCACAGAAAGACATGAAGGAACCTTAAATGAACACTGGTAAGTGAAAAAAACCCAAGCCCACTGCCGCGGAGTCCATTCTGACTCATAGCGACCCCATAGGGTTTCCAAGGCTGTGAATCTCTATGGAAGCAAGCCAGTCTGAAAAGGTTACATGGCATGTGATTCCAAGTACATGAATCCTGGAAAAGGTGAAGAAAGTATGGAAACAGTAAGAAGATCAGTGGTTGCCAGGGCTTCAGGCATGGGGCAGATGAATAGGTGGAACGCAGGGCATTTGTAAGGCCGGGAAGGTATTCTGGCTGACACTGTGGTGGTGGACACAGGACCGTGCATATGGCCAAAGCCGTAGGGCTGTACAACAGAAAAAGTGAACCCCAACGCATGGGTTTGCCACGAGTCAGCATCAACTGACAACAACTAACAACAATGTGGACTGTGGACTATAGTTAATAAGAATGTATCCAGAGGGTCCTCAGTTGCAACAAATGTCCCACAGGAGTGCAGGCGAGAGGAGGATGTGAGAACTCTCTGTTCTCTCTGTGCAGTTTTTCTGCAAACCTGAAACTGCTCTAAAAAAATTAAGTCTATAAAAATTAAAAAGAAAAACGGGTGTGTTTCAGGGCAGCCGCTGCTCCTGGGGCTGTGAGAGGTGCGATTCAGCAGAACTAGCCCTACGTTACCTCGGCCGCCAGCTCCCACGCTCGCTCACAGCCAGGCGAGGAGGGACACGGGGGATAACATTGGAGGGAAGCATGTGGGGGCTTGCTTGTGCTCTGCCAGGCCAAGGGAGGGGTGCCCCAAGAGGGTCATTCCTGGAGATTCAGGGAGCCTGGATTATCCCTGTCTCGTCTGAAAGAGGAGGTGCTCCTGGTGTGTGTGTGTGTGTGTGTGTGTGTGTGTGTGCGCGTGTGCACACAAGCGCGTGCGTGCACACGCATATAATCAGTTCATGGGCCCAGACACCCTGCCGTGAGGAAGGACATAGTGCTCCAGAGCTCAGTGGCTCAGTTGAGTTGCCCCGGTTGATGCCCCATGGAGCCAGAGATGAGCCTTCCCTGCTGAGCCCTGCCCACATTGCAGATTCCCTAGGTGCTGTTTTGGGGGTAGTTTGTTACACAGCAGTAGTTAACTGGAGCATCATATATTGCAATGCCTGTGAAGAGAGTTGGATTTTGTCAAATACTACCTTTTTGACATCTACTGAGATAACGTTTTCCTCTTTTGACACGTTAATATGGCTAATGTTAGTAACATATGTCCTAATTGAATCATCTTTGCCTGCTTGGAATAAACTGTACTTGGTTATGGTATATTCATTTTTTAACCTTTTGGATTATATTAGCTAATCTTTGCATTTTAAAAATGCACCAATACTCTTAAGTGGTATCGATCTGTAGTTCATATGTGTGTAAAAGTTTTGAAACCAGATTCATTCATTCACTCAGTCAGCAAATACTTAAGATGCGGTGCCTACTGTGTGCCAGCCACCATCCTAGACCCTTGGAGGAGAGCCGTCACCAAGCGAGAGTCTGTCCTTGTGGAGTTAAGGGAGGGGGAAGTTTATTCTGGCTTCAAAAACACATCTGGAAGCTTTTCTCTACATTCTTTAAGACACTGGAAGGACCTGTTTATTAAAAGCTAGAAAGAATTTATCCAGGAATTCACAGGGGTAGCCCTCTGACAACTTTTGCAGTTTTTTTTCTCTGCTCAGCTGTTCTCTTTCTGCTGGGGTCAATTTTGCTAATGTATAGTTCTCTTAAAAAAGCATCAGTTCACCCAAGCGTCCCTGCTTCCATGAGCTGCTCCGATGTGGGGCCAAACTTGTTCCTTAAAACCCTGCGGCCCAGGGTGACCGCCCACGTGATGTCACGGCTCCCCTGCCGCAAGCCAGCAAGCCAGGGGCAAAGACGCCACAGGCTCTGCCTGAAGGCAGTTGCGCTTTCCTGCCCCTCAGAAACAACAGGAGGCGCGGGCAGGGCCACGCACTCAAACCCGCAAACCAGAAAGCGCCCAGCTTCAGGTTTTACTTGGTGGGAGAGTGAGGAGGCCCAGCCTCGGGGGTCCTGAGGCTCCTCCCGAGGGAGGCGCACAGAGCGGGGACCAGCTCCTCCCGCGTCCTCCCTCCCTCCGTCCCCCTCCTTCCTCCCCAGCTCCTCCTGCCCGCCACCCCCCCTCGGCTCGGTCCGGTCCCTCAGGTCCCTCCCTCACTACCCAGCTCTCCTCCTGCCTCCTCCACCGTGATGCGATGCCGGTGCCCACTGCCAGCGTGACTAACGTAAAAAGACTGATCACACCAAGTGTCGGTGAGGATGCGGTACACTTAGAAGGCTCACCCAGGGCTAGTGGCAGTGTGAAACGGTACAACCGCTTCAGGGAGCTGTTTCAGGGTTTCTTAGAAACTTGAAATTCACCTGCCCTAACCAAGCAATTCCACTTCTGGGTATCTTTCCAAAAGAACTGAATGCACGTGTCCATAGAAACCTACGACTGTTGGAGCAGCTTTATTTATAATAGCCAGAAGCAGGAAAACAAACAAACCAGGTACCCATCAACAGATGAATGGATAAAAATAATTGCCAAGTCAATTCCCTGTCATAGTTCAATAAAAAATGTGAAGGATGGAAACCCCTAAGGCTACACGTTTCCCTGTACTCACCACTTTCCCCATCTCCCCCAGGCTTCACTAGGTAGTTATTTTATGTTTGTTTATCGTTGTAGTTTAAGTGAAAGTTTACATTTCAAGTTAGTCTCTTACACAAAAATTTTAAACATATGGACCGCTTCACGAATTTGCCTGTCATCCTTGCGCAGGGGCTGTGCTAATCTTCTCTGCATCCCTCCAGTGTTCGTATATGTGCTGCGGAAGTCAGCGCAGAGTTATTTTTATTAGTGTAATTGGAAGTGAGTTTAAATGTTCACTGTCACGTTTTAAACATTTGCACTGTATGGAGTTTTGTTTTATGTATTTATTTATTGGTTACTAAATTCTCAACTTAATTGCATTGTGGTCCAAGAATGTGGTCTGTCCAATACCAAGCCTTAGAAATTAGTTGCTTCTTGCTTTACGGCTAGGATGTGCTCAGTGTCTGTAGACGCCCTCGTGGACTTGGGAACAAGGTGTTTGGCGTACATCCTGGCGTGGTATTGCACCATCTTCATCACCACTGGCAATCTCGAGTCCATTGTTTCGACTATTGGTGGCGCCTTCCAGCCCAGGGGCTCATTTTCCAGCACTGTATTGGACAACGTTCTGTTGTGATCCATAGGATTTTCACGGGCTAATTTTCGGGAGTAGATCGCCAGGCCTTTCCTCCTAGTCTGTCTTAGGAAGCTCCACTGGAACCTGTCCACTATAGGTGACCCTGCGGGTATTTGAACTAACAGTGGCATAGCTTCCAGCATCACAGCAACATGCAAGCCACCACAGTACGACAAACGGACAGACAAGTGGTGGACCTGTCCGTGCTGGCGGATTTGTCTGTCTTCCTCTGGAGTTCTGTCAGCTTTTGGTTCATGTTGTGAGCCTATTTTAACATGATTCCTAAAAATGTTTTTGTTTGTTCCCGAAGTCTATTTTGTCTGCTATTAATATAGCGATGCCAGCTTTCTTTCGGTTCCCAGTTGCCTAGAGTATCTTTTTGCTCATTCTTGTACATTGACTCTTTCCGCGGACATATGTTTGAGGTATGCCTCTAGGAAACAGCATATGCATGGATCTGAGGCTTTGGATTCAATCTGACAATCTCTGTACTCTGACAATTCTGCCATCGGAAGCTCTTGCCGAGGCTACAGCTGTCATTCACTGGGGCTGCCCCTGCAGCAGCTTCCGAGGGCTGGCCCAGCGTCGCTTGGGTCACTGTGGAGGTGCTGGCTCAGATCCTCCACCTGTTTTGGCTGCACGATATAAAAGACAACTGGGGAACAAAAGGCCACTCTGAACGGCAAAGACAAAGGCTTCAAAAGGCGAACGTCTCTCACCAGCTCAGCCTGCAATGGCCGGACCCCCTTGGTGAGGCCTGGATGCTGGCACAGGCCACCTCTGGGTCCCCGTGTGATCTGTGACCCAACCGAGTGCAGGTGCTGTTGTGGGGCTGACGAGACTTTTTGAAAGTTAAAAATGTATTTTCCAACCACAATGAGATACCACTTTGTGCCCACTAGAATGGCGATAATCAAGAACACAGACAATAGCAACTGTTGACTAGGATGCGGAGAAATTGGAACCCTGTGTATTGCTGGTGGGAATGTAAAATGGTACAGCTGCTGTGGAAAGAGTTTGGCTGTTTTTCACCAGTTAAGCAGACAGTTACAGTTTGACCCAGCCATTCCACTCCTACAATGAGATACCATTAAACTCCCACTAGGATGGCTAAGATTTAAAAAAAAGAAAATAACAAATGTTGCCACGGATGTGGGGAAATCGGAACACCTACCCACGGCTGGTGGGAATGCAAAACGGTACAGCCACTGTGGAAAACAGTGTGGCGCTTCCTCAAAAAACTGAAAATAGAACTATCAAATGTCCCGGCCATTCCACTCCTAGGTATCTACCCCAAAGACTTGAAAGCAGAGACTCAAACAGAGACTTGTGCACCAATGTTCACTGCAGCACTATTCACAGTAGCCAAAAGGGGGAAACCACCTCAACGCCCATCCACAGACGAGTGGATAAACAAGATGTGGTCTGTCTGTACAATGGAGGGTTATTCAGCCATAAAAAGGAATGAAGTTCTGATGCTAGCTACAACGAACCTTGAAAACCACATGCACTTGATTCCGTCGATGTAAAATGTCCAGAACAGGCAAATCCACACAGACAGGAGGTAGATTCGTGGCTGCCAGGGGCAGGGGGCAATGGGAGGGCACGGAGAGTGACTGCTAATGGGTACAGGGTTTCTTCTGGGGTAATGAAAACGTTCTGGAATTCGACAGTGGTGATGGCTGCACGAGCTTGTGAACATACGACAAACCACTTTCAAAGGGTGAATTGTGTGGTATGTGACGCCCTCTCAATTTCTTTCTTTCTTTTTTTTTATTGTGCTTTAGGTGAAAGTTTATAGCTCAAGTTAATTTCTCATTCAAACATTTATGTACATATTGTTTTGTGACATTGGTTGCCATCCCCACAATGTGACAGCATCCTCCCCCTTTCTACCCCGGGTTCCCTGTGTCCATTCATTCCTTCCTGCCTTCTCGTCTTTGCCTTTAGACAGGAGCTGCCCATTTGGTCTCGTAGATTTGACTGCACTAAGAAGCACATTCCTCACGTGTGTTCTTGTTTGTTTCATAAGCCTGTCTAACCTTTGGCTGAAAAGTGGGCTTTGGGAGGGGTTTCAGTTCTGAGTTAGCAGAGTGTTTGGAGGCCACAGTCTCAGGGGTTCCTCCAGTTTCTGTCGGACCACTAACTCTGGTGTTTTTTCATGACTTGGAATTTTGTTCTACGTTTTTCTCCAGGTCTGTCTAGGACTGTCTGTGACGATCCCTGTCAGAGCAGTCGGTGGTGGTAGCCGGGCACCAGCTAGTTGCGCTGGACTCAGTCTGGTGGACGTCGTGGTAGTTGTGGTCTGTTAATCCTCTGGACTAATCTTTCCCTTGTATCTTTAGTTGTCTTCATTCTCCCTTGTTCCCGAAGGGGTGAGACCAGTGGAGCATCTCAGGTGGCTGCTCACAAGCTTTTAAGACTCTAGACACTACCCACCAAAGTAGGATGTACAACATTTTCTTTTCTTTTTTTTTTTTTTTCTGTGCTTTAGGTGAAAGTTTAAAGCTCAAGTTAATTTCTCAAACATTTATTCACATATTGTTTTGTGACATTGGTTGCAATCCCCACAATGTGATAGCACGCTCCGCCTTTCCACTCCGAGTTCCCTGTGCCCACTCGTCCCGTTCCTGTCCCTTCCTGCCTTCCCATCCTGCTTTTGGACAGGAGCTTCCCATTTGGTCTCATACACTTGACCGAACCAAGAAGCCCGTTCCTCACGTGTGTTATGTTTGGCTTCACAGGCGTGTCTAATCTGTGGCTGAAACATGGGCTTCAGGAATGCTTTCAGTTCTGGTTAGCAGAGCGTCTGGAGACAACATTTTCTTTACGAACTATGTTGTGACAATTGACCTCTGTGTCCCTCTCTCTCAATTTAAAACATATACTTTCAAAATGAAAATTGAAGCCAAAGTTTTGGAGGCTCAGGCTCAGTGGACTCCAGTTGGAAACACCAAGGTGGAAGCCCAGAAGGGAAGTCCCACCTTGGCCACTTCCTATCTCCGTGAACCTGGAGTTGAACTCCATGAAGTTCAACTTCCCTAAACTCAGTTTCCTCGATAGGAAGCCCTCAGTAACCTTTGGTTACTGCCATGATGGTTCCTGGCTCCTTGTTCTGTGATCGAGTTCTGAGAAGGAACCTGCCCTACCTGCCTCGCAACACAAGGCTGTGATCCAGTTGACATTTAGCGACTACTTATTACACGTGGTGGCTTTCGTAAGCTGTTTCTGTGGTGTCACGGATGGAACTGTGTCCCCCCGAGATGTGTGTTGTAAATCCTAACCCCTATACCTATAGTTATAATCCCATCTGGGAATGGGTTTTCTTCGTCAAGAGTCCATATCAGCATAGGGTGTGTTTTAAGGCAATCACCTTTAAGATATAAAAAGAGCAGACTGGGCAGAGAGAAGCAAGCAGAGATGGGGAAAGATAGATGCCATGCCACACGAAGATCATCAAGAGCCAAGGAACAGAAGCTGAAGAGACAAGGACCTTCCCACAAAGCCAACAGAGAGAGCAAGCCTTCCTCTGGAGCTGACGCCCTGAATGAGGACTTCTAACCTCCTGCACTGTGAGAAAATAAATTTCTGTTTGTTAAAGCCAACCACTTTTGGTATTTCTGTTACAGCAGCACTAGATAACTAAGACATCTGGCTTACCTCATCTAATCCTCACAGGCACCCTACACCCTGTGAGGGAGGTACTGTTAGCGTCTCGTTTTAGGGAGAGGAAACTGAGGCACAGAGAGTTTAAGAAACACCAAGGCCTCCCAGCTAGTGAATGCGCAGATGAGCTCAGCCTGTTTCAAGCAGGGAAAGGTAAACCGAGACAAAATGGAATTCTTGTTCATCCGCGTCAGCTGGGCAGATGGTAGAGGGCTGTGGAGCAACCAAAACGCTGGTGAGCACATTGTTTCCGGCAAGTGTTTTGGCCACAGGGATTTGGCCACTTTCAGTAAAGTTGAAGGTGGATCCCCTAACAAAGCTTGCACATGTTGGCACCAAGAGTCACGTACAAGAAAATGCACAAAATGAGGAACCACCCCGCTGGGCACCAATGGGAGACGGCAGAAGGAAACTGCAATGGAGCCGGTCCTGCGGCCGGTCACAGAAGGATCTGGACAGCATGGTGCCATTTGTACAAAGTGAAAGCAATGCAAGACCATGTGGTGGCTATATCCATATAGGAAAGGTATAAGAACGTGTAGGGGGGATAACTATCAAAATCCAGGCGGCGGTTACCTGGGGGCAGGAGGGTGGGGTATAGGGCTTCATTTCTTTAAAAGGAAGAGACCTGAGCTGACAAAAATAGTTGCCGCATGGACGCCCTGGTGAGGCCCTGGTGGCAGTCAGGCAAGGCCCCTGGGAAGGTGAGAAAGAAGAGGCAGAAATAAAACCAGAAGTCAGCATTTCCAAAGAGAAAAAGAGAGCAAAGATCAAAGTGAAAGGCAGGCAATGGAAAAAAAAAAGACTAGAAAAACAAAAAAAAACAAACATGAAAAGGGGTAGCAAGACCTGACGCACGACCACCATCCAAGCGGTGGCGGCACTTCACCCAGAGAAAAGCAGGAACTGGGCTTGAAGCAGCTGCTGGGCTCCATGTCCTCTCTGGACCCCCAGAGCCCCAGCCCAGCAGTGTGTCCCATTGACTAGCACACTCCAGCAAATCGCTGAATAGCGCCCTGGAAACTCAGCAAAGAAGCAGCTTTCCATGCTGGCAGAAAGAGGCTACTTTATATTTATGCAAATATTCCTACTAATGGAGACCTGCGGATGGGGGAGGGAAACACTTTACCTAGTTGATATGCCTTTGTTCTCCCAGGCTGCAATGAAATGACACCCACAGGATTTTGGCATTTCCTTTCCGTAATAAAACGCGATCACAAACAGTGCTGGTTAACTACAGTTTGGTAAACCATCAGGTTAACAATGATGACATCGGCTGTGTTGTATTATATTTTAGTTATACATGTAAAATTGAACTCTTTTATAGTAATTTATATAATGGTTATTGTTTTATAATAAAAAGATCTAAAGCAGCTGTAGGAGATGTCAAGATCTGACAAACCTAGCTGATGGATGGACAAGTATAACAGGTATCTGGCAGGCTGTTTCAAGCAAGACCAGAACCCCAAGGCTATGGGGGGGTTGGCACAGATGGTTTCTAAGATCCCTCCCAGCTTTGTAACCTTGAGCAAAGTTTAGGGGAGAGGACCCACCTGGTAACAGGGGATTTTCAGCTGCACGTGGGGTCTGATGGCACAGTAATACCACCAGCAATACTAATCACAACCCCGTCCTCCCCAGCAGGGCATTCCCTCCTGCTGCCAGAGGAAGCCCCAGATGGCCCGGCTCTTCTGAAGTCACGGCCGGCCGGCCCTCTGAGGAGACAAGCCACAGGAAGCCTGAGAGGTATGAAATGTCCACAGCAGGCTGAGGGAGGAGAATGGAGAGTGACTGCTAAGGAGTCAGGGATCTCCTTTTGGGGCGATGAAAATGTTGGAGCCCTGGTGCTGCAGTGGTTAAGAGCTCAGCTGCTAAGCAAAAGGTTGGCAGTTCGAATCTACCAGCTGCTCCTTGGAAACCCTATGGGGCAGTTCTACTCTGCCTTATAGGGTTGCTATGAGTCAGAATCGACTTGATGGCAACGAGGTGTTTTTTTTTTTTTTTTGGTTTATGCAAATAAAAAGGAGCCTTGGTGATGCAGTGGTTAAAGCGATCAACTGCTAACCAAAAGGTCAGCGGTTTGAACCCACCAGTGGCTCCGCAGGGGAAAGATGTGGCAATCTGCTTAGGTAGAGATTGACAGCCTTGGAAACCCTATGGGGTTGCTATGAGTTGGAATCGACTGAGTGGCAGTGGGTTTGTTTGTTTATGCAAATAAGATGCTTGTGGCCCACCAGGGGGATTGGACGGCTTGCTAATAATCTAATATAATCCCTTGTGGGGTGGGACCATGCAAATAAGGTGTATGGAACCCTAATGAGGGGATTGGTCAGTTTTGCCATCCCGTTAGGTTTAAAAGAGCAGTCAATCCCAAAGCAGAGGGGTCCTGATTACCACCAAGAAGAAGAGCTGGGAGTGGCGCGCACCCTTTGGACCCAGGATCCCCGTGCTGAGCCCCTCCTAGACCCAGGAGACAGAGAGAGAGCTGTAACCCCGGACATTGCAAGATGGCGAGAAGCAGCGGCAGAGAAATGGCGGCAGCAGAACTAGGAGACTGACCGGAGACAGCGCGGTGGGCTTCCTGGCCCATAGAGGGAGAAAGCTGAGTGCCTTCGGGCAGGAGGCTTGCTGGTGGAGTGGGGTGCCTCAGGGCACTTGTCAGTGGAGCTAGGCTTGCCAACCCATGAAGAGAGAGAGAGAGAGAGAGAGAGCTGAGTGCCTTTGGGCCAAGGATTACTGGCAGAGTGGGGTGCCTCCAGGCACTTATTGGTGGAGCTAAAGAGTTTTATAACACTTGCCCGAGCAGGGCAGAGGCCATGCCAAGGGGCCAAGGGCCAGAGAGAGAGGCCCGCCTGTGGGCACAACTAAGAAGAGGCTGTCCTGATCAAAGAACTGTATCCTGAATTGTAACCTGTTCCTTCCCTAATAAACCCCATAAGTATGGTCTGTGAGTTCTGTGTGGCCATTGCAATGAATTATTAAACCCAGCAGAGAGGTAGAGAGTGCTGTGGCAGGGAAGGCTGGTTTCAGATTGGTAAAAAGGTTGGAGGGTGGAGGTATGTCTGATCTCTGCCTCAGAGGAATCAGCCTGGGGCCGTTGATTTTGATTCTTCTTCCCCCTTGTGAAGTTAGAGGAGGTCAGATGCCTCTGCCAGGTCATTTTTACAGGGGGATACTAGGGGCAGGTCGTTCCCCTGCCTTCCAAGGTCACTGCCCCATCCACCCTCACCCCACGTGCTAGTTCCCCTTAAGCCTTCCTGAATCACCGTAATCTGAAAGTGCCATCTGTTTCCTGTAGGGACCCCATCTGACCCAGGAGAGACATGAAAACCAGAAGGTTGACAGGGTTAGTTATTAAATGGTTATTGGTTAAAAATAAAATAGTCATTGGTGCTGGCAGCTCAGAGGTGAGGGATAGAGGATACCAAACCCCTGGCACCTCTCAGGGAGTGAGGCCAATCCCCTGAATGCCCAAGCACTGAAGGGCGTGGGGGTGGCACTCAGTCAGTAGAGGAGCTGCCCCTCAAAGCCCTGGTGCCCCAGGTTTCTGTCAGCTACCAAGGAGGCCTCTGTAATCAAAGGGCACGCCTCCTTTCCTCGAGTCCGTGGCTTTTGAGACAGAACTTGGGATCAAACCGAGCCCAGCGTGTCGGCCTGCCCTGCCTCTGTGCCAGGCTACATCCAATGGCAGGTGGGTGAGCACACCTGACCCACTAGGTCGGACCGGAGAGTCTGGTTCACAACTGTCTCGGCGTGAGAGGCACAGTGGGAGGGTGGGGGAGACTCCGAGTCAGGACATATGGTTTGTAAGGACCTGGGGGGATGGGGACGCAGGGATCCTCAGGCCTTGCTCTGTGTCTCCAGTGGCAACAGACACCCGGCCTTGCAGTAACCCTAGCTTCTAAGGCCATCTAAGTCACACCCTGGCTCCAAGGCTACCCCCACCAAGCAACTTTCAGTTTAGAAGTCAGCTTTGGAGGTTTGTGTGTTGCTTTAGTCATCTAGATCCACCCTGCCTGCCTTGTCCGCGCAGGATCCAAGGTGGCATGGCTTCCACGTGACTTGCCCACAGCCAACGTGAGCGTCACGTCAGCTGGGCAGTCAGTTCTCGTGGTTTCTCCATCAGGCTGCTGGGTATATGTGTGGGGCGCCCCAGCCTCCCTGACTCATTCACCTCTGGGGACACTCACTAGCCCCACCCAGAGCTCACAAACATCTCAAATCTGGCACACGGCAGTTCTCTCTCCTGCCTCAAGTGATAGATTTCTTGGGGTCATCACTCTCCTCCCAGTGTTTTATTTTGGCAAGTTTTAAACTACAGAAAATTTACAAGAACGGTACAATGAACACCCTTCACCTCGATCTCGCCCCAATTGCTTGATCTCTTTGAAAGTGAATTGCAGCAATTAGAACATTTGGTTATTGAAATACTGACATACTGAAGCACAGCACTTCGGAGGAAAGGACATCTTCCAGTCGACCACTGTACTATTGCCATACCCAAGAATTTAACATCAGAAATGCTAAGTTCACTCTTAAGTCCATTTCAACGCTGGGGGCATCACTGGTTGTAAGGCAGCTTCTTTCTTTCTACAGTTTAAAGCTGCTTCTCCTCAGCGGGGAGTCTTTGGTGACTGTTTAAATTTGTCAGGAACAAAAATGCAAAGTGGAACTGCAGGACATCACAGACTTTGGACCAGAAGTGGCCTGTCAGCTGCTGAAAGGGACGCCACTGAGCAAGCTGGTGGTCCCACAGCTTGAGGACCACGAAGCCCAGGCAGGACAGCACCCCTAGGGCTAGGTATGTGCCTGAGGTGGTGCCACCAGCCTGGGCCTGGGCCCGCAGGGCTTGCCCCACAGCGGCCAGGATGTGCATGCCTAGGGCAACCTCAAACCCACAGGGGTGCTGCAGGGCCAGGCAGTAGCTGGCCAGAGAGAGGCATTCAATGGAGAGGAACAACCAGGGCCGCCAGCCCTTGTCCAGGTAGAAGCACCAGGCCACCGGCCATGCGAAGATGGGCAAGGTGAGCCACTGGTCGAGCACGGCGGCAGGGTGTGCCTGCGTCCCAGTCCGCAGCCACTGGACGGGGCCATAGAGGAGGGCCATGGCAGCGAAGACATCCTTCAGGTAACGGGCCCTCGGTGCTTCTGCCGAGCGCCCCAGCGTGCCCCCATCTCTGTGGAGCCAGTACCATCCCAGGAGCACGTAGGCCAAGTTGATCAGTGAGTTGAAGGGCATGGTTAGGAAGGCAGGGAGGCCGGCCACAGGGGCCTCTGCATAGTGCTCGTAGCCCACTTGGACGAAGACATCCTCAAAAACGCCAGTGTAGACAGTGGCCACACAGAAGCAGCCAGCCATGGCCACGTGGAATAGGGCCTGCCTTGACTCTGGCTTCATCCGGAAACTTCTCTCTTCTGAGCAGAGAGTATGAATCCGGGTCAGAGAGCTTAAATGAGCGGCTGCTTCACAGTTATTTCTGAGTCCAGATAAACAACCTTTGCAGGACCCTCCTCCCCTCACAGCTGGACCAGCAGAACAAAGTCCCGTGATTTCTGAAGTCGGTGCTGTGATCTTCCCCAGGCGAGGTGGCGGCAGGCTGATTGGCTGGCACCGGCGGAGAAAACTCTCTGCCTTCTTCCTTTGTGGTTACAAGAAAGAGCATGGTTAGGAAGAAGGTCCTCTTCAATGATTAAAAACAAACAAACAAACAAACAGGTGTTGGCGAAGGTGTGGAAAAACTGGAACCCTCATCCATTGCTGGCAGGAATGTAAAATGGTGCAGCCACTGTGGAAAACAGATTGGTGGTTCCTCGAAAAGCTGAACGTAGAACTACCATATGACCCAGCAGTTCCAATCCTAGGTATATACACAGAAAAAGTGAAGGCAGGAACACAGAGACTTGTATACCAGCGCTCACTGCAGCACTATTCACAGTAGCCAAAAGGTAGAAACAACCTAAATGCCCATCAACAGATGAGTGGATGAACAAGATGTGGTCCGTCCATACAATGGAATGCTACTTGGCCATAAATGTTACCCGAATAGGGTCCGTGCCCTGAAGCAGTTGAGCCAGTGAAACGTACTCCAAGTCAGAAAGAGTGAGAACGTTTATTTAGGAGGTGTCCACCAACGGGGATCCGACAGCAACGCGGGCTGTCTCAATGGAGTCCCAAAAGGCATTTTTACGTTAGCGCTTATATGTGATTTTTACAAAGGTTAGAAGTTCTTTCGGCACATTGCCCACAGATGGCCGGATGCGTTATTCATGACAACGTAATTACAAGAGACTCTATCAGACTCAAGAGATACATGCTGGACATCTCTTTATTAGGCTAAAGATATACACGTCAGACATCTGGGCTCTGATCTTCCTGTGGGGGGGGGTCGTAAGCCACAGGCAGCCGGACAGAGCAAAGGTATATAGAAAGGAGAAGGCAAAGAAAAAAGAGAAAAAACTTAGAGGTTCATCATGGTGTTAACTATGTCAAGCTCTCAGCTGCCCATTTTGAGAAGGAGAAAACACGCCGGGGAGCATTAGGGTCACAATAAAGAGAAATGAAATCCTGGTGCCTGCCACAACATGGATGAACCTTGAAAACAGCATGCTGAGTGAAATAAGTCAGTCGCAAAAGGATGAACATTATATGATCTCAATTATATAAAACAAGCAAGTATAAAGAAAGCAAAGATTATTAGTGGTTACCAGGGGTGGGAAGAAGGAGGGAAGGGGGAGTTTTTGCTTAGGGGGCAGTGAGTTTCTGTTAATGGCAGTGGAATGATTTGCAGAAGGCTAGCCAGAATGGTTGCACAATTTGAAGAATGTAACCAATGTTACTGAATGACACATGTAGAAATGATTGAATTGGTATGTTTTGTTATGTATATTTTCACCACAATACAATTTAAAAAAAGAAAGCATCTCCATCTTCGAGACTCTTAGCCTCAGGGTCCATCAGTGGTTTTCTTCATTCATTTTTGCACTGTAGAAAGCATGGGTGCTGTCCTAATTCCCTTAAAGCCACTGCATTTAGAGATTTAACCCTGTCTAGATCTGTTGGCATGTGGTGAAATGAACTCCCTTATGTGGCCTTTTGCCTTGGTTCTTTGGAAAACCAGCTTGAGAAATTTCTCCCCTAAGCCCTGAGGAGTTACCTTTGCCCTCGTTTTCTACACCAGAGGGTTTGTTGCTTTTGTCCGGGTTGATTGACATTTCCTGGGTAAGCTGTGAACAACTTGATGGTTTGATGCCTTTTATCTGGCCCTGGGTGGTAGCCTGCTCTGTGATTGGTCTGTTTTATGTAACTTACAAGGATGGGCCCATATACTACAGGCTATGCAGATGAAGCAACTATGGTCCACCAAGGGGATTGGTCAGTTTGTTGTCCTGCGGGGAGGGCCGTGCCTTGAAATTGACAAGGAGTTTTCTTGTATATGCAGCTAACCCCACAGAAGTTTCAGAAGGAAGAAAGAAGCAAAAAGGAGAAAAAGCAAGAAAGGCAAGAAGGGAGAAGAAGCAGAGAGAGAGGAGGTGAGGAATCTCCTAAAAGAGCCGTAACATGGGTCAAGGGCCGTTAACAGTGAAGATAGTGAGAGACCCGGGAGGGGCCCTGCAGCTGAGTCAGTGGTGACGGCAGAAACGCACTGCTAGGATGCAGCTAAGAGAGCTGAACGAAGCTGCTACACTGGCTATGAGCTGGGTCAGTTAGCAGCGGAGAGGCTGATGGTAGGGAGGCCAAAGGCAGAGAGGCCTGCCCGGCCGAGAGGGGGCCTGTCCTGAGGGGGTTGAAAGGAGGCCTCCATGACTGAGGGAGGTGTGCATGACAGAGAGAAGGAGCTGCTTGCTTGCATGGCCAAGAGGAGCTGAGAGAGCTGTCCTGCACTGAAGAAGGGAAGGATGTGCTCTCCACTTTGGGGGAGCCTTCCAGACTTTGCCTGTGTGCTTCATGATCCTGAACCTAAGTTGTAGCCTGTTACTTCCTTAATAAAGCTATATGGTCTGTGAGTTCTGTGTGGCCACTGCAACAGATTATGGAACCCAGCAGAGAAATAGTGCCGTGGGGAGGACACCTGGTATCAGAATTGGTAAAAAGGTTGGAGAGTGGATGTATGTGCGGTGCAGTGAATTACTTAATACGGCCCTTCTAGCCACAGTCTTTGTAACTCCCACCACATAACTGGGTGGGACTAGGCAAATGAGGTGCTTGTGGCCCACCAAGGGGATCAGATAGCTTGCTAATAGTATAAATAAGGTGCAATAGCACCCTTGTGGGGGTGGGACCATGCAAATAAGGTGTATGGAAACTTCTTGATGGGATTGGTCAGTTTTGTCATCCCGCTAGGCTTAAAAGAGCAGTCAATCCCAGAGCAGAGGAGGGACCTTCTACCACCAAGAGCTAGGAGTGGAATGTGTCCATTGGACCCAGGATCCCTGCACTGACACCTCCTAGACCCAGGAGACAGAGAGAGAGAGCTGTAACACCGGAGACGGCGAGAAGCAGCGGCAGAGAAACGGTGGCAGCAGAGGCAGCCGAACCAGGAGACCAGCAGGAGATAGCACAGCGGGCTTCCTGGCCCAGGGAATAAGAGAGCTGAGTGCCTTCAGGCAGGAGGCTTGCTGGCGGAGTGGGGTGCCTCTGGGCACTTATGCCAGGAAAAAACCCATTGCCTTCGAGTCAATTCCGACTCATAGCAACCCTATAGGACAGGGTAGAACTGCCCCGTAGGGTTTCCAAGGAGTGGCTGGTGGATTCAAACTGCTAACCTTTTAATTAGCAGCCAAACGCTTAACCACTGCGCCACCAGGGCTCCTGGGCACTTATAGGCAGAGCTAAAAGAGCTTTGTAACACTTGGCCGAGCAGGGCAGAGACCAAGGGGCCAGAGAGAGATGTGCCTACAGGCACAGCTGAGCAGAGGCTGTCCTGATCAAAGAACTGTATCCTGAGGGTTCCTGAACCTGGACTGTAACCTGTTACTTTCCTAATAAGCCCCATAATCGTGAGTATTATCTGTGAGTTCTGTGTGGCCACTGCAACGAATTATCGAACCCAGCAGAGAAGTAGAGAGTGCTGTGGGAGGGACAGGAAAAAGGTTGGAGGGTGGAGGCGTGTCTGACCTCCGCCTCATAGCAATCAGCCTTGGGCTGTTGATCTTGATTCTCCTTTATCCTTGTGAAGTTAGAGGAGGTCAGATGCCTCCACCATGCCATTTTTACAGTATGTCTGTGACCTCCACCTCATGGGAATCAGCCTTGGGCCGCTGGGGATTCTCTCCCCTCCTCCTGAAGTTAGAGGATCTCAGGTGCTTCTACTCGAACATTACATGTCATAACTCAAAATGCACTTTCCCACCTCAGTGGTGTCAGAAATCTGGAAGTTTCCAGGCTGGCCCCAAAGCCCTTTTAATGAAATACCTTGCTGAACCAGAGACAAGTGGCTGGGTGGCACAGGAAGACAAGGATGAGACTCTGCCGCTGCTTCTTGAGTAGCACACGGAGCCCTCTCCCACGGCCTCTGAGGCCTCCTGCCCTGCCCTCAAATGCCAACCAGCCCCAAACCACCTTTTCTTTGCCCACAATAAAACCTTCCATTTCCATTTGTTTTTAAAACAATGTGGAATTATCGCCGATTGTCAACTGCTTTGGGGACAGCTGTGGTGTGAGTTGGCTTAGAAGCCGCAAATGTCATTCATCTCAAAGGGAAAGAGGCCCAGAGCTCTGAAAGTGATTCAGCCAAAAAGGGTGGGCAGCTGGCGAGTGGTCCCAGGGTTCAACGTGGTTTGACACCAGACTGGCTGGCACAAACCCTGGCTGCCCTCCCACTTAGCACCTGTGACCTCAGTTTGCTCACCTGCAAATCAGGGATGCTGTCAGCACCTGCAGGGGCTTTGTGTGGCATCCACCTGTCCTCAGCCCCCAGTGTGGTCCTCAAGTATCCATCGGATTCGATGGGCTCGTGTCCCCCTGTTCACCAGCCTCTGGCCAGCTCCCCACTGGGCGCCTTCCCCACCTAGCCTCTGCTAGCTCCCCAGGCCCTCCTGCCCCGGGCCACTGCAGAGAGTTGCTGCCCTGGGCTCCTGGCCGCTCGCATCCCCAACTCGGCTGTCGTTCCCTCTTGGCCTGGGGTCGGGCCTCCACGGGCACTTCCCCATTCAGCTAGCTCTGGCTGGTTTCGACCTATGCCAGCTGAGTCCCTGCCTGGCGTCTCCATCTGGGGCCTGCCTCGCGTCTCCATCTGGGGCCTGCCTCCCAGGCTTTTGGGGTCTTATGCCGTCTCTGCTCACCTGACCCTCCTGTCTTCCAGGAAGCAAGGTGGAAGGACAGGAGTCAACCACTGTCCTCTGGCTAAAGTGGGGGGAGGGGAAGAGGTGGTGGTGGAAAGACTCTTCATTTCCGTTGCC